GGCGAAGACAGTCAATACCATTGAGGACTGATGATGAGGCGCTACAGGTGCAGTAATTTATCTACATTTACAGTTTGTTCCTCACCTGATTGGTGGGTTGATACAGGTGCAAATATACATGTGTGTGCTGATAAATCCTTGTTTTCTTTTTACCAGGTTGGGAGGAGTGGAGCCTTACTGATGGGGAACAGCGCGCGTGCTGGTGTTCATGGTGTTGGTACGGTGGATCTGAAGCTTACTTCGGGGAAGACCGTGCAACTCAAGAACGTGCATCATGTCCCCTCAATATGGAAAAATCTTATTAGTGGCTCTCTGCTATGTCGAGACGGTTTTAAACTTGTGTTTGAGTCGAATAAATGTGTTATGTCGAAGTATGGAACCTTTGTTGGAAAAGGCTATGAGAGCGGAGGCTTGTTCCGCTTGTCGTTGGTTGATACTTTACCTCTTGCAGTGAATAATGTCGTTAATAACGTTAATGTTGAGATGAATGTTTGGCATTCTCGATTATGTCATGTTAATTTTGGTTGCATGTTCCGCTTAGCTGGTTTGAATTTAATTCCTAAATTTGACGTTGCCAAAAGTTCCAAATGCCATACATGCGTTGAGGCAAAACAACCTCGCAAGCCTCACAAGGCAGTTGCGGCGAGAGAGTTGGCACCACTTGAACTCATCCATTCCGATATTTGTGAAATAAACGGAATTTTGACAAAAGGTGGTAAGAGATACTTCATAACGTTCATAGATGATTGCACTCGATATTGCTATGTGTACCTAATTAAAACAAAAGATGAGGCATTACATTATTTTAAAACCTTTAAAGCTGAGGTTGAGAATCAACTTGAAAAGAAAATCAAGCAGTTGCGGTCCGATCGCGGGGAGAATATTTCTCTAATGAATTTTACGAGTTTTGCGCGGTGTGCGGTATAATCCATGAGAGGACACCTCCATACTCACCACAATCCAATGGGATTGTTGAGAGAAAGAACCGTACTCTAACCGACTTGGTGAATGCCATGTTGGAGACAATTTGGTTTATCTAAGGAATGGTGGGGTGAGGCAATTTTAACTCATGAATCATGTCCTAAATAGAGTGCCCACAAAGAACAAAGAAATCACTCCATTTGAGGAATGGGAGAAAAAGAGGTTAAATATTTCTTATCTTCGCGTTTGGGGTTGTTTGGCCAAAGTGAGCGTGCCAATAAAAAAAAAAAGCTTGGACCAAAAAGCTGTAGATTGTGTTTTCCTCGGCTATGCCATTCATAGTGTGGGCTATCGGTTTTAATAATAAATTCTAGTGCTCTGATATGGCTGTTGGAACGGTCATGGAGTCTAGAGATGCCACGTTCTTTGAGAATGAATTTCCAATGAAAATAGGTGCACCTAGCATGTCTAGTCATGATTCTGTTCCTGAATTTCATGAATCGAATATTCACGCTGATGGTAACACCCATGAGCTTGAGCAAAATCTGAGGAGGATGATAATATCACACTCGAAGGAGTAAGAGGCAAAGAGTTGCAAAATCCTTTGAGAAGACTTTATTATATATCTCGTGGATGACACTCCCACAACTGCTTTACGATGCATACTCTTTCTCTGATTCTGACATGTGGAAGGAGGCAGTGCAAAGTGAGATGGACTCCATTATGTCCAATGGGACGTGGGAAGTGGTTGACCGTCCATTTTGGTTGCAAACCCGTGGGCTGTAAATGGGTGTTTAAAAAAAAGAAGTCGAGGCTCGATGGTACAATTGAGAAGTACAAAGCTAGGCTTGTTGCTAAGGGGGTTATACATGAAGGAAGGTGAAGATTACTTTGATACTTACTCACCTATTGCTCGACTGACGACCATTCGTGTATTGCTATCCCTAACTGCCTCACATGATCTTTTCATTCATCAGATGGATGTTAAGACAGCCTTCCTAAATGGAGAGCTTGAGGAAGAGATCTACATGGATCAGCCTGATGGGTTTATTGCAAATGGTCGAGGGTAAAGTTTGTAAGTTATTGAAGTCCTGTCAGACGGCCTAAAGCAAGCCCCCCAAAGCGTGGGCATGAGAAGTTTGATAAAACTTTAAAAAGAAAAGCTTTGTTGTGAATGAAGCTGATAAATGTGTATATTATCTGTTTGGTGGTGGTGATGGTGTGATAGTATGCCTATATGTGGATGATATATTAATATTTGGCAACAATCTAAATGTGATCAAAGAAGTAAAGATTTTTTGTCGAGTAACTTTGAGATGAAAGACTTGGGTGAGGCTGATGTTATTCTCAACATTAAGCTTTCAAGGAGGAAGGAAATGGTGGGATAACTCTTATGCGGTCTCACTATGTGGAAAAAGGTCTTGAACCGATTTGGGTACAGTGAGTGTCGCTTTGCTCCTACTCCCGCGATCCAAGCGTTCATTTGAGGAAGAATCACGAAATTGCAAGAGACCAATTGAGATATTCACAGATAATTGGTTCTCTCATGTACCTAGCTAGCGCAACCGGGCTCGATATCTCGTTCATTTGTAAGCAAGCCGAGAGCCGATTTGTGTCAAATCCGGGAGATACTCTTTGGAATGCTCTTGAGAGAGTGTTGCGCTATTTGAAAGGGACAATGAGTTACGGCATTCACTTTTCCGGGTATCCGAGGGTACTAGAGGGTTATTGTGATGCTAATTGGATTTCTGATGTGGATCAGCTGTATGCCATGAGTGGATACGTGTTCCTACTTGGAGGTGGTGCTGTTTCTTGGAAGTCTTGCAAGCAGACTATCTTAACGAAGTCTACAATGGAAGCAGAACTGACCGCATTGGATACCGCTAGTGCTGAGGCAGAGTGGCTCCGTGATCTAATGGATTTGCCGATTGTTGAGAAACCAATCCCGGCAATTTCCATGAACTGTGATAATCAAACTATGATCACTAAGGTAAACAGTTCTAAGGATAATATGAAGTCCACAAAGCATGTGAAGAGACGTTTGAAGACTGTCAGAAAACTGAGAAACTCCGGAGTAATTGCATTGGACTATGTCCATACATCAAATAATCTGGCAGATCAATTCACTAAGGGTATGTCACGCAATGTGATAGAAGGTGCGTCGAGGGAACTAGGTTTGAGACCCACATAGAGCCATCAACAGTGGTAACCTGTCCTATTTGATCGGAGATCCCGTGAATTAGGATGGCGAAACAAGCTGTTGATTGACTGAGGGAGAGACCCCTTAGATTATAGCTCAGTTCGTTGGAGATGCACCGTCTCTCCAATACTGTTAGGCAGGATGATTAAGTTCTTAATGTGATCCGAACGGCTTGGTATAGCGGGGATGTTGTCCTACAGAACATCCTATAAGGAACACACCTATATGAGCTCGATTGCTAGTCACAATCTATGAGATGTGGGTAATCTCTAGATGCTAATAAAAAGGCCTCGAAGTGTGACTTATATGCTTCAAAACAGAGGGAAGGCACTTGGCAGCCTAGTATCAGTTAAGAGGTTATGTGAAACTCATCTCGCACAAAACTGTCAATTCAAGGTTCTGTCTATTGTTCAGTTGTGGATGAGTGTAGCTAGCTTTCTAGATGGATGTTCAACTTAACAGTCTCCATCGAAACACTGGTATATAAAAGGAATGTGGTTCTGAGAACTCCAAACTGCGTACCCTAGAGTTTGGTGGGGATTGTTAGATATTATGGGCTTGACCCATTTATTTAATATCTCTATTAAACTCTATGGTCCGTACATGTGCATTAATGGTTTTTATTCCATATGAGAATTTAATCGAGAGGCGACTCTACTTAAATACTTGATCATTGACCGATCTATTTGAGAAGTAAAAGTGAATCACCTGGATGCCATGCGCGCGCGCGCGCCGCCGCCCGGCCCGGCCCGAGCCCGTGCGCGTGGGCGTGGCGAGGCAGGCAGGCAGGCAGGCGGCGGCGGCGGCGAGCGAGCGGACGGGCGGGCGAGGCCTTTATTTTTGTCACTCAGTTTCCTTTGATGGAATTGACTGGAGGAGTTTCTGTTAACTCCTGTGACGAATTGATTGGAGGAGTTTCTGTTAACTCCCGTGACTTCTGGCTCTCCGTCTCCGTCTCTCCCGCCGCAAGGGGAGGTGTGACCCCTCGGTGCGCCGGCTTCTCCTCTTCTGGCCTCCGCCTATAAGACAAATCCTCCCCTCTCGGTTAAGTTCTCTTGGCGAAGTACACCACTTTCCAGCAGGCGCAAGTTTTTCCCGCTCCACCTCCGGCGAGCACCAGAGATGGAAGAGTAGGCCTCCGGAACGCGTCTCCGTCGTGGGCTTCACCTGCTCGGGTGAAGACGGGCGATTACGTTTTTGGGGAGTGTCGGTGGTGGCACGACTACTCGCTGGTGAACCTGTAGCGGTGCGTCTTCACGGCGTCCTTTTCTGCACTGCATCGAGCGGGACGACTACAGCAACAAAGCACCACCATGGCCTTTCCTGGTGCGAGCGGCTCCGCCGCAGGGTATAATCTCCTTCACCCTCTTCTGAGTTTCATTATCAATATCATGATGTTCCTAGGCAATACTGCTTTCATATTCAGCATGCTCTGTTTGGTTGATTTGGATGATTATGCTAGTACTGTTTTTCTGGTTCCTTTTAATTTTGTGATCATCATGATCTTGATATTTGAGAACACATCTTTTATATTTATGATCATGTCTGTGATGCTTCAGCTGTGTAAAACAATGTTTCACATATGTTTCGGTTCTATAATTTGCCTTATCATCATGTTAACACTTGTCATGAATTGTTTCTGTCATTTTATTCATGACGTCACTCTTATTTTTATTGCGTCATTTTTATGGATTAAAATAAATATGAAAATGCCTTATTCTTCAACACATGGTGCTACCATCTTTTTACTTGGAAAACTCAGTACACTGTAGGTTGTCTAAGTGCAGTGCAAAAATATCAAATATAGCCCAGCCACAAAGCAATGGAACAATCACCATTTGTTGTTCTGTATGGACACGAATCGGGCCAATTCGGAATCTCAGAGCTGGATGTCAACCTGGGCTTCAGTCATGGCAAAGTGAATGCTCTGTGATGCAGCAATTGGTACACCAGCACCTGCAGTGTGCTCAGAAGCGTATGAAACAGCAAGCAGACATGCGGCGATCTGAGTGCCAGTTTGAGGTTGGTGATTCAGTATATCGAAAACTGCAACTGCAACCTTATGTTCAATCGTCAGTGGCTTCTCGCTCTTCGAACAAGGTGTCATTCGGCTTCTTCAGGTCTTTCACCATTACATAGAAGATCGGCTCTGTTGCTTATCGCTTGTTGCTGCCACCATATTCCTCTATACATCCGGTGTTCCATGTCTCACAATTGAAGAAGGCTGTCTCTCCTTCGCACTCGGTGAGTCCATCTTTACCTGACATAACTGATGAGTTGCAGGTCCCAATTGCAGTTCTGGACAGACGTCTTCACGGTCTTCCTGGGTGAGTCCATCTTTACCCCAGCTGTTGATCCACCGGTCCAACTCTCCCCCAACTCTTGCCACCTGGGATGATGAAATCACCGTCAAGCAACAGTTTCCTCGCGCACCAGCTTGGGGTCAACTGGTTCTCAAGGACGGAGGGATGTTACCAGCTCTGCTTCTACTCCACCAACTCAGTCCGCGATGGCCCAAGCCTAGGTGTGTGAAGGAACGCGTGCCTCACTTGAAGCGACCCAACCCAAAATATGTAGGCCCAAAATGGAAGTAGAGAGAGAGGCCCAACGCGGCTATGTAACGATCTTCTTAAGCTACTCCTGTAACGTAAACAACCTGTCTTGGATGCTAAGAAACGAACCCGAACCGACTAAGCGTTAGGCGCAGGTGGCGAGATTTGTTGTCGTGTATCCAATTCCTACCACCATAGCTATCAAATTCCTAGTTCCAATATCTAGATCGGTAACTCATATCCTTTGGCCTACTCAATGCGACACCTGGGGCACCCATCTGGATTCTGATGAACCTTAGAGTGTGCAAAGACTGCCACACCATCAGCAAGCTCATATCGAAGCTATACGATGCTGAAATCGTCGTGACTCGTGAGGGATCGGATTCGGTTTCACCACTTCAAGGATGGATCATGTTCTTGCAAAGACTACTGGTGATCCTTGAGCCATGATCTCCTGTGATGCTATCTGGAGAGATCCTGCTGATGTTGTATTAGAGTGTGCTCACGTGTTGTGGGCGGCTGCGTTGTACTGTGTAATTTAAAAAAAAGCGCCTCTGCTGGCATCCAAGAGGGAGGTGAGTGCCATTTTTAAGTGCTGATGGTTACAGTGAGACTCATCTTAAAGGCGGGAGAAAAGTGACTCGTGGTTGTTTAGCAAGTTGTGAATTAGATGGTTTTGTTCACCATGTGACTGATTATGGAAGCTCATTTGAGCGTTTTTCTTTGATCTAACATAGTAACTCGAAGTCAATGTATTCCAGTGGAGCAATTCTTCACATGCACTGCAATTTGAAATCTTCTCAATCCAATATTTGCCGTATTAATGGCATATCTGATATTGACGATTTTTTCCAACGACAAATATAACGAGTAGTCCCTAACATTGAGCATCTTCAAGAGCCTTTCTAAATCTCTCTCTAAATCCACGTTTGGAGAGTCATTTGCATAAAAATCGCTATCTATATTTTTTACTCTCCAACAGTTTTTCTATATCTCATGCGCAGTCTTCTATTTTTGGCTAGCGAAAAATCCAAAATACAAGGTGGCTATATTTTGATAACTAGTCTCTCGGAGATGCTCACTCAACGTCCACTGTATGCACAATAATCGGACTCCTAACCTGGCGCACACCGTCAGACCACACGACAGCAGCCGACACGAACTCGTTCGCATCCGGCAGGGCGCCGGAGACCGTCACGGTGAACGACAACCTCTGAAGCAGGCTGCTGAACGCCAGCCTCCTCGGCGCGACGGCGACTCTGACGTATGGCCCCAAGCCGGCGATCTTGGCGGTGTACAGGGAGCGCGGCGCCCCGACGTTGGTGACGGTGCGCGGGAAGCGGACGGTGAAGTTCTTACCCGGCTTGGCGTGGTGCGCCATCGTCGGGTAGTTGAGGTCGGCGGCGGTACCCCTTTTGCCGCCGTTTGCCGCGGCTGGGCACGTCGTGGCGTTGGAGCCAATGACGGCCCGGAGCTGCGTGGAGTTGTACCCCTCCGCGCACAGCATGCGCACGTAGTCGTCCTCGCGCGCGTCGTAGACGAGGCCGGGGTCGCGCGCCCGCGACGGGTTGAGCTGCCCCGCGCCGTAGACGAGCTCGCCGCCGCCCGGGTTGCGCGACGGGTCCATCGGCGTAGCTTCGTTCACGTGAGGCGTTGCGACCGGTTAGTTCTCTTGGAAGGATCACTAGTACGTGCATTGTTGAGTCGATCGATGCAAGTTAGTTACCTGTGGTGATGAGAGCTGACATGATCATTGCCGGCGACCAGTCGGTGTGGAAGGACTTGACGTACGCTGCGACGCCGGTGGCGTGGGGGCATGCCATGGACGTGCCTGAGATGATGCTGTACGGCGCGAACCGGTCGTCCTTGAGGTTGCCGGACACCGGCGACAGCGGCGTCCATGCTGCTAGGATGTCGATCCCCGGCGCAGACAGGTCAGGCTGCAGGTTTTAGTGGTAAATAAGACACAGCACGTGTGGCCTACACATCAGTATTACTCTTTCTTTGACTGTGAATTACTGTTTCTACTAGTCGATATTAACAACCTTGAGAATCCCTGGACTGATCAAGTTTGGCCCTCTAGATGAGAAGGAGGCGACGGTGGGCGCCTTGGAGTCGAATGCTGTTTCGGTGCTGCGTATCGTGCCCACAGGGTTGCTGCAGAACATGACACAGCAAAGCATTGATCAGCATAGCAAATGCCACATAATCTTGTTCTTGTTGTCTGAGGGAATCGAGCTCAGTCGCACCGTGTCTTGTTGACGTAGGCCATGATTTCGGTGAATTGGTCCTTACTAATCGTCAGGGCTGGGAGGGGCAGCAGGGAGGCGATGTCGGGTGAGCCGCTGACGATGACTGCGCCGGCGGCGCCAGCGAGGAGAGGGCCCGTGCCGTCACTTCCACTCGCGCAGAGAAGGATCTTCCCCGTGTATGATTGTCCGGCCAGTGACTCCGGTTCACAGGAGCTGCAATGCAGAGTTCATGGTAAAATATGAATTAGCGAACCATTGTCCATTAACAGAAGAGTAATGCTAAACAACACTCGAGTGGTTCTGCCCCTCTCAATACTCATTTTTTTCCCTCTCATTCTTCTCCATCTCTAGCCTCTTCCTCTCTTTTTCCTCAACTCCCGCGAGCTTAGAAGGGGCTTGTGGGAGGCCGGCCGGCCAGGCAGTGGGGATAGCGTGAGGTCGGCGGTTATGGTTCCGGCGGCGTAGGAGGCGGCCGGATCAGATCAGGACGGTGCGCCCATGGCCATGACGGCAGCAAGGGGCAGGGGGGCGGGGAAGGAGGCTGCCGTGGGCATAATATGGTCCTCTCAGAACTCCGCGGCTGCAGCGGCGGAGCTCCGGCGAGACCCTACCGTGCTGCGGCGGAGCCTTGGGAGAAGGAAGACCACATGAAGAACAAAATTCGAGTGTTCTCGAGCCACATAAACACCTTAGTGTTCTAAGACGGACCCAGAAGAAATACTGCTTCGTACAAGTAGTTTTTGGGATTAGTTACATACCCGTTGATGTTCGTCGGGAGGACGAGCGGGGCTTCCTTTAGTTCCGGGAAGATGTTAACGGAGGCTCCCTGTGCCAAAAGAACATGAACATCATAAAGAATTTCTTGTCACGCAACGACTTCCCAAGGATCAGATCAGTGCATGGTCTACATAAGCTCACCACAATGGTGCTGCCGTTCCCGAGGACCAGTTTGCCGACGAGCCGGCGATCGGTGCTGCTCGCGGCGACGGACAGGATCCACGGCGCGACATTGTAGACGCGGCCTCCGTCGAGCGCGGAGTTGCCGGCCGACGCGGAGGTGAGCACCCCGCGCCTCATGGCGTGGAACGCCCCGATGGCCGCCGCGTCCTCGAAGTAGGGCACCGGGAGCTTGCCCCCTATGGAGAAGGAGATGAGGTCGACGCCGTCGGCGACGGCGTCGTCGAACGCGGCCAGGATGTCCTCGCTGCCGCATGAGTCGTCCCAGCACACCTTGTAGACCGCGAACCTGGCGCCCGGCACCGCGCCGCGCGCCGAGCCGGCGGCCAGGCCGCCGAGGTCGACGTTCTCCACCACACGCCCGGCCACCGTCGACGCCGTGTGGGTGCCGTGGCCGGCGGTGTCCACGGGCAACAGGCCCGTGTAGCCTTGCCTGTACGCGCGGGCGCCAATGATCTTGCTGTCAACGTGTCAAGTGTCATTGTGTCAAGCAACCAGCAGTGGAACAATAAGAGCACGACGCGGTGAAGATAAACGCGAACGTACTTGTTGCAGGTGAAATTGTGGCAGGCGCCCTTCCACCGGCTCGGCGGCGGGCCGAAGCCCTCGTCGGAGAAGGACGGGGAGTTCGGCCACACGCCGGTGTCGATCATGCCGACGATGACCTCCGCCTCCGTTTGCAGGCTCCGGCGCGCCGTCTCGGGGAAGCCGAGGAAGTCCCATGATCTCGTGGTCTGGAGTTGGTACGTCCGGCTTGGGAAGACGGACACGACACCATCCGTAGTGGACAGCTTCTGCTTCTCCTCCTTGGTCAGCCTGGCCGCGAATCCACTGATGCTCCTCGTGTAGCTGTAGATGATCCTGTCCATTGCATCGCTGCAGCATGGCGTGTACAAAGTCAGTTGTTATTTTTTTTTTCTGCACTAGTGCCTTGTTGTCTGGACTCTGGAGCCGTTTGATTTTGATTTATATATAAAGAAATTTATTTCAGAGAACATGAAATGTTTCTATGTTTACATCTTTTAGAAAATTAAAAAGTAATGTCGGATTTACCCTCTGAAGTTGTCGCTATTTTAAAAACACTCTCGAACCTGAAAACAAGACGATTTACCGACTTCACTTTTAGAACCGGATAAAATAATCCACGGGTTTCTTAGAAGATTTTGCTGACGTGGCGGTGGGTCTACATTTCAGAAAGGTATCTCCCTTTATGTTATTTAAAAAAATCATAACATTCTTATATAAGTTGGATAAATGCAAACTTTATGCGATTTACAATTTTATGCTTGAAATATTTGAGGGACTCAAATATTCATTTTAAGTTGTCAAATTTTGAACAATATATATTTTTTATTTTTTTTCAAACGGCCTAGATATTAACATAATTTATGCAAATGTTGTAGATGTCGTTGCTATCTACAACTTTTTTGTTAACTTTTTTATTTGTCTTAGATAATTTAGAGGCTCCAATATTTATTTTAAAGTTATCTAATTTTAAAATTTATTTTTTAAAAAAGATTTACAAACGATCTTGGATGTGTACATGATCTATAACAAAATTATAGTTCTTAACGTGATATACATCTTTGTTGTTGCAACTTTTTTAATCTAAGATCGTCTAGAGTCTTAAATATTTATTTTTTATGTTCTTAGATTTTAAAATTTAATACTTTTTAAAATGTTCAAACGACCTTGGATGTTGACATGATACATACCAAAGTTATAGTTATAAATGCAATCTACAATTTTGTAGTTAATAATACATTTTTACATGATATCTTTTTGAGGCTCAAATATTTATTTTAATTTCTCACATTTTATTTTATTTTCTAATTTTTGAAACGGCCTCGGACATTGAAATAGATCTCAATGTGTTTTATACTTTGTGGTTGAAAACCTTTTTATTTGAGATCATTTAGATATCCGAATATTTGTTTTTGAATCATCTCTGATGGAGACATGCTTTATACCAATTTTGTAGTGCCTGAAGGGATCTAGAACTTTCTAGTTATTTTTTTTTTCATTTGAGAACATTTAGGACTCTAAATATATTCAATAAAAGATGGTATCGTTAAATGGATGTGGGGTCCACATGCCACTTCACTCGAAACCACCATCTTTTTTGAAACGACTCAGAACCACCATCAAAACTACTCTGAACTATTTTAGTGAGGGGGGAATATATCTGGTTTTGAAAGTTAAAGGTGGTAAGTTGCCTAGTAGGAGTATTTGAGCTGAGGATGTTTTTTAAATTTTAGTTCAAGGGCAAAAACCAGGTTTTAAAAAACATGGCTTCTCAGACAGGGAGCTTATCACTGAAAATGAATCGCCTGACCTGCCATCATCGAGGACCTGGTTGAGCAGCCCGTGATGAGCAGCTTTTGCTGCAGAGAAACCACCAGCCAACTCTGTCGACGGCTCATGCTGGTGCCCCATGTACACGATGTACACCTGCACACGTACATACATGTACACCTCAGCTCGCTCTATGCACAGTCACGTACTGTACGCACGAGTTCTCAGGAAGTCAGGGACTGACCTGCTGCGACGACAGTTCATCGCCATCGCTGCCGAGCTCTGAAGCATGCAAGCTGCCGAGGAAGAAGAAGAAGCAGACGGCAACAGCGGAAAGGGCGAGCGCCTTGAACACGGTGCCCATATTCCAGGTTTGCCAGCGCATGCACTTCGATCCTGGATTGGATGTGCACGCGCGTCTGGCCAATTTGTATGGCAGATGCGTAGAACCAGTCGTGCGGTTCCTTGGATATTTAATAAATCCACTTATACAACTGGATATAATGGATCGGGATCTGCATATTCACCTCGATTCCACCGCACAATGTTTGGTGTCTTGTCACATTGTCTGCGTCTGACGGTGAGTTCGGGGACACTAGAGTGGATCATTCGCTTTGGTTTAGAATTTCCACCTAAAATGGCAAGGGCAAACAAATCTAGCTGTCACCATTTTTCTTATGACGAAACTATAGTTGGCCATACAGCCCGAGCCCGTTGGCCCAGCCCAAGGGCCGTTTTTTGGCCCGGCCCGATGGCTAGCGGGCTCGGGCTGGCACGGCCCGGAGGAGCAGGCCGTGCCTGGGCCTTACTCCAGTCACGTGGCCCGGCCCGGCCCGGCCCGTAAAATGGCCAAAGGCCCGCTGAGGAAAATGGCCAAAGGCCCAACAACAGCCCAACAGGCCACCCTCCTCTCTTAACCCAACCGCCTACCCTCTCCCTCCCCCGCCGCAGCACTCTGCTCTCTCTCGCCCAGTCGCTCGCCTCGCCTCCTCCCCGCTCTCGCTCGCTCCCTCACTTCTTCGCGACTCGGCGGCAGGGTACGCCGCCGCGGGCTCCACTCCTCCTGCCGCCACCTCCCACCTCCACTCCAACCCGCCGCCGCACTCCCTACCGCTAGCGGTTGCGGGCGCGAGTCGGCGTCGTGACTCGCTCGCCATGTCGCCTCCCCGCCTCACTCTCTGTCCCGCACGACTCGCCTCCCTGCCGGCCACCGTACTCTCCCGACTCGCCTCCACGGCCCCCAGCGGCGAGCCGCCGACGGTGGCTACCGCCTCCTCACCGCCCCGCACTGCCGCCGACGGTGGCCACCTCCTCCTCACTGCCACGCGCCGCTCCTCCTCCCCATGCCTCCTCTGCGCGGATCCGGCCTCGTTCTCCGTGGATCCGGCCTCCTCATCGCTCATCCTCCGCGGATCCAGCCAAGTCGAGGTGCGGAGAGGTCGGGGATGGAGAGGTCATGTCGTCCACGGCCTTCGCAACGACGGCAGCCTGGCCTCCCCCTCTGTCGGTGTAGTGGGCCTTGGGCCGGCCCGGCACGCTGGATTAGCCGTGCTTCTTGGGCCGGTTTGGCACGAAAAACGGCCCAGCAGGCCGTGCCTGGGCCGTCGGCCAGGCACGAAGCCCATGGCAGCATGGCCCGCATGGCACGTCGTGCCTTGTCGGCTTGACCCCCATCGGGCCGTGCCAGCCCATTGCTGTGCCGTGCCGGGCCGGGCCGGCCCGTTGGACATCTATAGACGAAACTATTAGTCTCACCATTTTTCTTCCAGGTTAGCTGATGTGTTCGGTGTTCTAAGCAATGTGTAGCCAAGCTATACAATAATTTTTTTATTAGTCTCATCCAATCTTCTCTATATGTTTTTCTTTATTTCTCATGGGCCTTCACTTTTCTATATTTTCTCTCCTCCTGTCACCTCGTGCTATCACATTGTGTATTGGGTCATCACACCGTACAAATGCATGCCCATACTACCATGCATCAGCAAAAGCTGTAGTTTCTCCTTCCCAAAAAGAATGTAAATCTCAAAAAATCTTAAATTTGACTAAGTTTGTAAAGAATATTATCAATATTTAGATGTTCAATTAAATTTATTTATAAAAATATATCACATGATTAATTTCATGATACTTATTGCGCATCATAAACATCAATAATTTTTTTATAAGCATTCACCTCGACTCATACAACTCCATATCTATACTATAAAAGAGCGAAGGAATTGAAAAAATAGTTGTTACCCAAAAAAATCATACCCACCTTCTATTACAACCGTTGGATGGTAAGTTGTCTTTAAATCCAATGGCGTGTATTAACTTGATGGTGGGCCATCTGTAATCTCACATCTTATAGGTGAAATCTTGCCTGTTCTTGCCGTTGTATTCTTACGTCCCTTCTCTCACAGTGGTTTTTTTGTCACACGTCTGTCAGCATACCCGCCCGCCCACACCCATCGGCAACCACTTCTCCTTTCCTTTTTCTTCCGCCGCCGCTTGCTTCGGTGATGCTGATTTATTTGTTTCTCTTTCCCAGCGCCGCCAATCCTCCTCCCCTCTCCTCTCCATCGCACGTTGGGGGACGCTGGACGCCTGCAGTCATTCGGCGACAGAAGACCGGCGGATGCGTTCCTCAACACCACGTGCGGTGTTGCACCAGCCAGCGTGAGTTCCATCTATTTCTTTCTTCTCTCTTTTCGGCTCCAATGCTCCCCGTTTCATTCATCTATTGGTTTCGTCTCCCTTCAGATCCAGATCGTCACCAGCTCAAGCTTGAAGATAGCGCTGGTGAGGCAATGCATGTGAGGTAGCTACGTAATCCTGATTGACTGCCCCGTGTTCCTCCATCTTTTGCTTTCCAACATCTTCTACTGTTGTGGTTCTTGTTACGGATGTTTACGGATACAAGTTGATATCCTTTACTGTATTTTATAAGTTTGCTCTCCGCGGCGGCGGAGGAGGCCAAGATGGCGGCGCAGCAGCACCCCCGCAGCAAAGAAAGTTGCGGAGGGACGGGCGCCGGCCTGAGTAGACTTATTTTAAATCTTTTTGCATGTTTTTCTTTTGCTTAGCCTTGCAGGGCAGGAACGCCTTTTTTTGTTAGAAACTTTGATAGCATTAGTTGCATGTATGTTGACCGGCCTTTTGTTTGTAGGAAACGGAATGTCTCTTTTCTAGACTTGAGAATCTAAGAGGATATTGTGCAGTTTAATTCCACACATTGATACCAGGGTTCCTGAGTCGAGATCTACAGAGAAAACTGTCCTCAGTGGATAGTGGTAACGGTCAGTGACTTGTACAAAATTTAATTTTTCCCATAAGATCTTTTCTGTGTGCCAAACCACTATTAATTTTCCAGGCTTCTAATGGCTATATAGTCTAATCTGTGTCCTACTATATGATACTTTAGGTAAGTAGGAGACCATTAAATAGTAGGCACACATGGTAGAATGTTTCAGATTAAACAAAAAAAAAAAAATTGGAACACATATGCTTTTAATGAGAAAACAAGTAATGCATTAAATTTCATAATTAATATACCATTGATCATGCTGAGATTGATGTTGTCTTTATACAGGGCAACAAAATAAAAGAGGTGTAATTAAAATAAATTATCCATGTTGCTATCTTTATGATCTTTCATCTTAAATAAATTCTGACATTACAAGAGAGCTTTTCATATGCAGATACTATCCCCAAATTGTAAGTCTGCGAATAAGAGGATACAAAGGTAAGCAGTGTCAAAAATTTTAGGGTCCATTTGTAGTTTAGAAAGACTATATTTTCTCAAACATTATTATCCAACACATGGTGACAGCATTGGTGGCATTCACTTCAGAAATGAACAAATCAAAGAAGCAGATCATATTGGGATGAAAATGTACGCCTGGAATGATTTCTTAAAAGTGGGTTTGAACCATCCTTTCATCAATATTCCAGTGCAAATGCATCAGCGAGATAGCTATACATATACTAACATCTTTTATTTTCTTCCTATTTTCATTTTTAGATTGCCACCGACACCTGAGAATAAGCATTGCAGTGCTCTAACTGGTATTGATTTGCCGCGCTCCTATTTTTGATAGATCTTTGATTGATTGATGCTCATATTATTTTGAGTCGAATTTAGGTTCATAACTTCATATACAAATTGTGACTCAGGCAATTCAACTCTGAATTTTCATATAGAAATCTGGTGCAGTAGAGTAGCACCTCCAACCTCAGTTTCATCATTCTGTCTAATGTCTCATATTCCCCGTTATCATTGCATTGTACTCTTTATATAAAATAGCCTAACAGCACAAAGAAATATTGAAAATCACCGGTCTTGTTGGAAGGAAGGGCATGGCCGCATCATCACAGCACACTGAATGTCAACTCATTGGTAGATTTAATTTGTTTATGTTTGTTTTGAGGTGGGTGGTATGTATAGCAGATAGCACGAACCCACTCCCCACTGGTGTCATCATTAGAAGTGTATATAGAATATGATGATAAGTGTATACAGTCAATTATTTATTATAAATTTGTTGATTTTATTTTTATATATAGGTACTGTTATCATTGTGCATGGTTGAATACCCATCTGGTGCTGGCTCATATGGATTGTTCTAATTAATGATGTTACTGATCTCGGAGCTAGTGCAAGTGGCAAGGGAAGATCAGGCTATGTTATAGAACCATTATTATGGTGGAACATCTGAGTATATCATGAAATTTCTTAGCCTACTCATCTAAGGCCTTGTATAATTGATAATTCAATCAATTGAAATTTTGAAGCGTACCATAAGGGAAATGACCGTTGTTGTGCAAGAAAGTTATCCTTTTAGCTGTGGGTTGGATTTTGATATGAATTCAAACATGGTGTTGGTGCTTACCAACCAACTCTTGTTGTAAATACACTGTTTATTTCCATTCGGTATATAAATTGAGCAGAAAACTACTACGGCAAATACACATTCTTATTTCTTTTTGGATTCTTGTTATCTATTATATGAATCCTCTTGAATGTGTATTATTATTTTATCAAAATCTTCACTGTAATTCCTCCATTAAGAATGAACCTTTTTATGAACACGTGCGTGCCGTATATGTAGGAATTCAATTATTAAACACTTTTTTTTGTACTCATCCATCTTGATATTTTTATAGACACGTGCGTGTCGCACGTGCATATCTATATGTCGAGCACCAATACTAGGGTACCAGAGGAGGAGCTAATGACCATCAACGTTGATTCATCCGTGCAATCAAGAGCGCGACTACACCGCTTGTCGGGTCCCGCCTCGTCCGGCCACCGAGGCGGTGGGCCCTGCCTCATCTGACCCTCGAGGGTTGGCTCCGCCTCGGTGGGCGCTGCGGCCGTGGAACCCATCTCGCCCGACCCCCGAG